CTCAGAGCCGCGAGATTAGCAAGAGCGTGTTCTACCGCTGCTGGCGGAAAACTGAGGGGGGGGGTCACTACCGGTTCGAACGCCCCCCCTCCCCTTGTCCCCCTCCGGAAGACCGGGGGGGGTCACTACCGGTTGGAACGCCTCCCCCCGCCCCCCCTGCAGTCCATCATAAAAAGGAGCGGGGTCACTACCGGTTCGAACCCCCCCCCTTTCGAAAACCGGGGGGGGTCACTACCGGTTCGAACCCCCCCTCCTCCCCCTTTGAAAACCTGGGGGGGGGGTGCGGACAGTGGTGGGGACGGTGGTGGTGGGGACACTGGTGAGGGGACAGCGAGACAGTGGTGGGGACAGTGGGGCAGTGGTGTGGACGGTAGTGGTGGGGACAGTGGTGAAGGCGGTGGTGAGGACAGTGGTGGGACAGTAGCACGGTGGGGAAAGTGGTGGGGACAGTGGGGACAGTGGGACAGTGATGGGGACAGTGGGGACGCTGGGACAGCACAGTGGGATAGCGGTGGGGACAGTGGGACAGTAGTGGGGACAGTGGGACAGTGGTGGGGACCGTTGGGAAAGTGGGGAGAGCGGGACCGTGGTGGGACAATGGTGGGGAGAGTGGGGACATTGACACACTGGTGGGGGCATTGGTGGGGACAGCGGGGACAATGGTGGGAACAGTGGGGACAATGGGACAGTGGTGGGGACGGTGGTGGGGACAGTGGTGTGGGGACAGTGGGAATGTGGTGGAAACAATGGGACAGTGGAGGGTACAGTGGTGGTGGGGACAGTGATGAAGGCGGAGGCGAGGACGGCAGTGGGACAATGGGACAGAGGTACAGTGGGGACAGTGGTGGGGACACTGGGGACAGTGGTGGGAACAGTGGGACAGCTCAGTGGGACAGCGGAGGAGACAGTGGGACAGTGGGGACAGTGGGGATAGTCGGGCAGTGGTTGGGGCCGTGGAGACAGTGGGGAGAGTGGAACCGTGGTGGGAACAGTGGTGGGGACAGTGGGGACAGTGCGACAGTGGTGGGGGCACTGGTGGGGACAGTAGGGACGGTGGTGGAACCAGTGGGGACAGTGGTGGTGAGGACAGTGGTGCTGGGAACAGCAGTGGGGGATGTGGTGCGGACGGTGGTAGGGACCGGGAGTCGTTTGCTGGCGGTGATGGGGGGGGAGGGGTTCGAGTCGGTAGTGACCCCCCCCCGGTTTTCGAAGGGGGGGGGGGGGAGAGGTTCGAACCGGTAGTGACCCCCCCGGGCTTTCCGGAGGGAGGGGGGGGTTCGAATTGTCAGTGACCCCCTCCGGTTCTCTGGAGGGGGTGGGGAGGTTCGAACCAGTAGTGACCTTCCTTTAGTTTTCTGGGGGGGAAGGGGGGGGGGTCGAACCAGTAGTGACCCCCCTCGGTTTTCAAGGGGGAGGGGGGGAGGGTTCGAACCGGGGGGGTTCGAACCGGTATAGTGACCACCCCCCGGTTTTCTGGAGGGGGGGAGGGTTTTGCCGGGGGAGGGGAGGGGGGAGGGGAGTGTTCCAGCAGGGGGGGTGGGCATTTTCGGAGGGGGGGGGGACCCTGGGTTCCGGAGGAAGAGTGGGGGAATTTTCTTCAGTAAAGCGGCTGTGGATCACGCTCTCCGAAATCACAACAAGCCCAAGTCGAGTTCGCCCGAGTCGATGGGCGGTCCGTCACGCTCATGTTGTTTCTCTCGGATGTTAGCCGTGTCGGCCCTGCTTATAAGTCGTGTAAAGGGCCTCTGCTCGCGCTTGCTTGCGTCCGCGGCCTGGAGTGGCTTGCTCCCGCGCACGGTTCTCTGTGGAGGGATCCGTGACGCCTGGCAGCGCCTCCAGCAGCATGCTTCACCCTGGCAGTGCATCATAGGACCTTTCAGTGCGTGCGTGGCCACAGCTATGAGATTAGGCCTCCACATGGACGGGTTTCAATGGTCGCATCCCAAGATTGGATCCTTCTCTCCTCTCGACTTCTCTCCTCGGACGGTGGGGTTGGTGTTGGATCGGGTGGTGGACCCCTGGCTGTATTCAAGGGTTGCGGACCATCTGGAGTGACCCGAGTTTGCTCACGGTTAATTGCTGCAGCCGCTGCGCAAGGTCATTTGCAGCAAGCGCACCTCGGTGCAAGGCGCAGCATACAGTCGCAGTGTCGTGTGCGGTGGCCAGTGGCCACAGCAACGGCAATTTGACTGGCCTCGCGCAGCAGTGGCAGTGTCAGATGTGCATGGAAGGTCATGGTGCGCTTCTGTATCGGCACATTGCTGCACGCATCACGATGAGGTGTGTGAGCCCGAGCCACCGCCTTTCGCCGATGCACTCAGTCGAGCTCGTGCTCAGGCACATCAAGCGGACAGAAGACCCTCCATCCCCCTCTTGCTTGCGGAGAGGCTGTTTGTGCCGCTTGTTCCCCTCCCCACCGCTCCTCGGCCCCCTGGCTGTTGGATCCTCGGCGAGACAGGACATCTGCAAGGCCACGTCTTTTTGGATGGCAGCCAGCGTGACGAGCACCTACCAGCGGCTCAGTGTGGGCTGGGCTGGGCGTGCGTGCCGGTATCCGCCGACACATGTCGAGCGGAGGCAGTCTACGCGGACTCCCTAGATCGCCTAGCTGCTTGCATTGAGTTGCTCGAGCTCTGGGCACTGCTGCAAGCTCTGCGTTTCTCTGTGCCTGGCATTATTTTAAACAACGTCCGCCTTTGCCGTGCATGGCTTTGAGCGCGGTCCTCGCTGGCGCTGCTCGAGCACAGCAACACGGGCTGAAGTGTGGCGCGAGGTGTGGCAGAAAATTGCTGATTGGGGCGGGCCTGATTCCGTCGTCGTCATCAAAGTCAGAGGCCACGCCACGCTCGCCGCCGTGCAGGCAGGGCAAGTCGACCCATTCCATCGGGCGGGCAACGACCTGGCCGATCGCTATGCTAAAGAAGCCTCAGCGCACGCCAGTCTGGATCCCGAGTTGCGTCGCAAGCTCGAGAAAACATGGAGTGTGCTCCAGGAGTACGCCGCTTGGTTAGGTCGGATTGGCCCAGCGATGGTTGCCACCGACGCCCTACATGTTCCTCCGAGCAAGAGACAAGAGAGGCCTCGGGCTCCGCGGCTAGACGTTCTGCCCCGGCCGCCGCCCGCTACTCCCCGCTGTGTGCTGGCGGCGGACCTTGGGCACGCGCTTGTTCTGCTCAGTGGCGGGCAGCCTCGCGCGGTGCATCCTTTTCGCCTCGCCGAGAGTGGAGTTTCGCGCGTGGCTTGCGTAGTTTGCGGCGCCAGTGGCTCTGGCACCGTGCCCGCTCCCTCCGTGCCTTGCCCAGGTCGTCCTGCCCCCAGGCCTTGGGGTGACAGGGTGTTGAAGGGACTGGCGCGGGGACAATGCCAGATCAACAAGGTCTGGTACACCCTCGAGGAGCCCTGGCAGACTGGCCGCTTCCTCGGGGCAGGCGGAGCCGCGCCCGCTCACAGGCTCCCGCCCGCAGCGCCGACCGAGCCGACCTCTCGGCCTCGGCCTCGCGCTGCCCCGTCGGCTGCCACGTCGAGCGCGACTCGAACTCATTCGGCTTCGGAGCGGCCAGCCTGACGGTGCTGGTTGCCTGCAGCGGTGGCGGAAGTGGCAGAGGGCACCACCCGCTGCAGGCAAATCACAGGCGGCCTGCAGCGGTGGCGGAGGTGGCAGCCGGCGCCGCCCGCAGCAGGCTACAGGGTTAGGTGATTTGGATTGAACTTTGTCGCCTCGTGCTGCGTCGAAGAGGAGGAGGAGGCGCAGGAGGAGGAGGAGTAGGACCAGTGCAAACCCAAGAGTCATCAACGATGTTGGAATGAACACTCCATCCAAGCTCCCGCTTGCCAGGCCCCTACAACGGTTCATGTCCATTGAGGGAACTGTTTCGTTGGAAGAAACCGTTTGAAGATCCTGACGCGTGCCAAAACATTGTTCTCGGGATTTCAACGCCATGTATCAACCTACTGTTGCGTCTTGACGATCCAGAATCGTGCCAGAACGCCGTTTGTGGGACTTCAACACCGCGAATCAACATAACTGTTGCGCCCGCGTAATCTTGAACCCTTCCAAAACACCGTTTTTGGTACGCTGACCAGGGGAATCCTTGAAACTCCTGCAATGTTTCAAATCGAATGTGCGCGGCGCTAAGGTGAGAGCCACATGTTCAAAAGGAACCGCCCTCAATCCGTGAAACTCTTGCAAATGTTCAAAACGAATGTGCGCGGCGCTTAGGCGAGAGCCACATTTCATTTTGAAAACGGCCCGCCCTCAATCCGCGAAGCTCTTGCAAGTTTCATGTCGAATGTGCGCCGCGCTAAGCCACATTTTCAAAAGGAGCCGCCCTCAATCCGTGAAACTTTTGCGAATGTTCAAAACGAATGTGCGCGGCGCTCAGGCGAGAGCCACATTCCATTTCGAAAACGACCCGCTCTCAATCCGTTATTGTTCTATTTAACGAATGCGCGCGGCGCTACGGCGAGAGCCACATTTTGAAAGCGACCCGCCCCCGATCCGTGAACCTCCTGCAAATTCCGAAAAGGAATGCGCGCGGCGCTAAGGCGAGAGCCACATTTTGAAAGCGACCAGCCCTCCATCTGTTAAACTGGTGCCACTTGTTATGCTTCAGGGTCATAAATGGTGAGGAAGTCTTAGGCAACATGCCCGGCCCGCTCTAAAAACTGGCCTCGGGGTGCGACACGGAGAAGTTATTTATAAGGAGACGGAATGGAGGAGCAGGAGCAGGAGCAGGAGCAGGAGCAGGAGGAGGAGAAGGAGAGAGGAAAAGGAGACGAGGAGGACGAGGAGGAGGAGGAGAAGGAGGAGGAGGCGCAGGAGGAGAAGGAGGATGATAATGAGGAGCAGGAGGAGGAGGAGGAGGAGGAGGAGGAGGAGGAGGGGAAGGAGGACCAGGAGCAGGAGCAGGAGGAGCAGGAGGAGAAGGAGAGAGGAAAGTAGGATGAGGAGGACGAGGAGGAGCAGGGCAGGAGGCCCCCCCCCCCTTCGCGCGACGAAGGCGTGGCGACCTCGGTCGTCGAGCTGCGCCCGGGAGAGCACGGCGCCCTGGTGCTGCTGTCCGACGGCGCCGCCAGCCTCGCCGAGGCCGAGGCGGCCGCCCCCGGCGACTGCCGCCCGCCGTCCTCGCCCAGGTCGCCGTCGCCCCGGAGCGAAGGAGCAAGTGCGCCCTCGAGGGCGCGAAGTGTTTCGCGCTTCGCGGTTCGGCCCCGATTCCTCCTCATCCTCCTCTTCTCCTCTGGGGGGCGGCGCGAGAGCGCGAAGTTGTGCACGCTGCGCGCTTCGCGCAGCGCGCAGCGCGAAGCTTGGCGCCCTTGGGGAGAAGGACAGACACGTACATGAATCCACGCTGGTTTCGAGAGTACGCATCGTGCGAACATTCGTGATACGAGGCCGGTCTCGCGGGCTGGGGGGCCGTGTTCGCGTACGTACGTGGTTGGGCGACGAACGTCCGTTGTGGGCTCCCTATCTCGGACGGTGAGGCGTTTTCCCGGAAGGGCCTCGCCTTCTTTCAGCCACGTGCAGAAGGGGAGAGGGGGGGGGGAGGGCTTCTCAGAAGCAGCTTTGCTTCCTGCAGAAGGTGCCGGCCGTGTCTAGATGCAGGGCCGGCGAGGTCCAAGAAGCAGCCTCCTTCTAAGGCGCCCTCCCCACTCCCTCCACCCCCCTTGGTGTGCGCCGCCAGTTCTCGGTGGATGCCCCAGCCGCTGTTGGCCATTCCCGTCTGGTCCGTGGCCTCCCCTCGGAGGCCCAGGCCGACGGGTATTCGCCCCTCGAGGGCGGCGACCAGTCTGGTTGACGTTGCCGCGTTGCGGCTACTCTGGGTTTCTGAATAAGCGTGGGGGTGTACCCCCCCCCCGACGGGGGTCAACCTCGCCTCGTCGTCGCGCCGCGACGGGGGTTGGAGCGCGCGGTGGCTGCCCGCCACGGGGGTCGATGTGGGGCTGCCTGTCGGCGGGGGTGACGCCCCCCCGACGCTTGATAAAGATCTCGGAGTAGGTGGAGTCACCTCTGCCCTGTGCACCGTGTCCCACTTCCCTGGGCCTCCCCTCGCCATTGCCCCCTCCCGCAGCTCCACCAGAGCCGGTCGCCACGCGCTCCTGCCGCGTGGCTTCGTCGCACGCCTCTGGGCGGGACCTGTTCCAGTCCTCCTTGCCGCGTGTCGGTCGCGCTGGCGCCCCCTCCCCCAGGAAGCCCCAGGAGGGCCTAACGAGGCCCCCAAGAGGGCCCCGGGTGGTATGAATCACTTGTTCTGCGAAGGGTTCTCAATGTTTTTGGGTTCTCGCCTTTTCGAGCTTCCGACGCTCCAAGACAGCCCAAGAGGCCCCCCAAGATTGCCCCGAGACGGCTCAAGGGGTCCTCGCCCCTCCCGCTCCGCCCCAGATCTCAGACGAAAAGGGTCGAAGGGGTTAACATCTCTCGGCGACCAATGACAGCATGGTCACGCCGGGGTGACCACTTTGGGAGGGGGGGTCAAGGTTTCTTGAGCCCGCCATGTCTCCCGCGATATGCTTTTCTTGCAGCCAGCATGTTTTACAGATGTCGGTGTTTCGAGCATGTTTTCGGGCCCCGTGGCCATCAAACATGGACCTGGGGCGAAACTCTGCTCCTGGGGAAGCCGTCGGGACCCCTGGGCCGCGCAGGAACAGCATCAGATCTGCGGATGTCTGGGGCCGGCGCCGTCGTCGACGGCGTCGCCGCCGTCGATCGACGATCGGGGCTCGATGCTCCAGGGCTCCAGGGCTCCAGAGCCTTGAAAACCAAGCCAAGGTTCCTTCGTAGCGTTCAGCCTCTGTGGGTCCTCGGCGGGCCCTGGGAGTGTCAAGAACGACCTGGGGCGAAAGAAAATCCTACGGAACGGTTCGCGACTTCGGGGGCCCCTTATTCAACAAACCAAGGCATCGGCTGTCTGGGGCCGTCGCCGTCGATGGACGATCGGGGCTCGTGGATCCAGGGCTCCAGGGGCCCAGGGCTCGAGGATCAAGACTCGATCGATCGATGGGGGCTCGAGGATCCAGGGCTCCAGGCTCCAGGCTCGAGGCTGTTCGGGCCCGTCCTCGGCGCCTGGTTGGAGGCCTCCCTGGACCCTGGAGGCGTCTGGAGACGTCTCTGGAGAGGCCTCCTCCTGGAGAGATCGGGCGGCCGCGCGGCCAAATGGTTTCTTGGTGTTCAGGCGCGGAAGAGATCAGCCGCGCGCGGGGTGGGTGGGGCCCCACTTCTTAGAAGGCGCGGGCCTTGTCCCCAGATGTAGGGCCAACGCAGGCGCCTTCTAAGAAGGAGCCTGTTTCTGAGAAGCGCCCCCCCTACCCCTACCCCCTCGTGCGCGCCGCCAGAGAGAGGAGGAGGAGTCGGGATTGGATTCCCCAGGGACGCCCCCCCCTGGGCCCGGGCCCGCCGCGAGGTGGCCGCAGTGATCCAGCGCCACCAGGGAACGCCCGCTCCGCCGTCGTCGCTTTGCCGTCGCTTGCACGCCGGAGCAGGCGTAGGGAGGAGGGATCGGATCGGATCGGCTGTCCGCGGAAGGGCCCCGTCACGGGGTGCAGCCCAGGACGCCCTCACGGGGCTCATTCCCTCCCCGGGCCTTTGACACAGGGAGAAAGAGAGAACACGAGGGAGGAGGGCGGGGGGAGAAGGAAGCCAGGAGCAGGAGGGGGCGCAGGCAGGAGGGGGGGGGAGGATGGGGAGGAGCAGGGAGGGGCGTGAAGGCACGAGGGGTGGGAGAGGGAGTGGGGGGGTAGCAGAGGCAAAGGCGAGGAGAAGGGGTGGGAGGAGAGGGAGAGAAACGGGAGGAGATGAGGGGGCGAGGAGACGCGGAGCAGAGGCTGGGAGGCGAGGAAGCATGAGGCAGGATGCGCGAGAGGGGAAGCACGGGGGGTAGGAGGACGAGGAAGAAAGCACGAGGGAGGACGAGGATGAGCGCGCGGAGAGGAAGCACGAGGGGGAGGAGGACGAGGAAGACCCGGTACCGCCCAAGGAATCGTCCGCCCAGGAAGCGAGAGAGCGAGAGAAAGAGAGTGAGAGAGGAAGACCCACCTCCGCAGCCATCTGGGCTCAAGCAGTGTCCGCGCCCGCGCGCGCACGGCGAGATCCACCCGGCGGCGTGCGCCTTCGCGCCATGGCGCGGGCCATGCCGCCCAGCCCCTCCGCCCTGCCGCCGACCCTGCAGGCGGCGCTGGCCGTGGGCGGCGGGCGCAGCGCCTGGGGCGCGCCAGGCGAAGAGCCCCAGGCGCAGCGCCGAGCCCCAATACCCGGAGGCGCAGCACGGCGTGGCGGTGCGGCCGTCGGCGCAGCCGCGGAGCAGCGCCGGGCAGGGGTCGGGGGGCTCGCGCCAGAGGGTCGTGGTGAAGATCCGCGGCGCACGCGTGATCAGGAAGTCCAGGGACTTCCTGAAGGTGCCGGAGGCGGACGCCGAAGACGACTCCCTCGACGGATTCCAGTCCCCGAGGCAGGCGGTGAAGCCGCTGGAGACAGGCCTCCGCCAGTTGGCGTGGCAGGATTCTGCGGGCCTGCAGGACAAGGTCAAGGCTCCGCTCGCTGGCGACCCCGGCTCGCCTGGCTTTCACGAGCTCCTGCGGCGGCTCGCGTCCGTGCACGACTCGGAGGTGGAGGAGGTGTGCGCTTCGCAGAGACAGCGCCACTCTGAGAGCGACGCTCGGGCCGCGGAGCAAAGTCTTGACCACAACGAGTGCGACGCTCCCTGGCAGCTCTACGTGCCGCTCCACCGTCGGTGCCCAGAGCTTGACCGCCTCCAGCAGCAACCAAGAGGGCGTCGGACCCACGAGGACGTCGGCCGTGAAAGAGCCGCACGCAGACCCCACCGCTGGGACCCCGGTGCTGGACATGGTCGCCGAGGACGACGACGACCACCGCTCCTCCTCGGGCAATCGGCACGATGAGGGCAGTCGGGCGTCTGAGCTCGTGGGTGACAGGGAGCACCACGCCACGTCCGAGCAGGAGTTCACGCTCCAGGCCCACTGGCTGAAGCCGGCGCACTCGAAGGATGATTCCGCCAGGTCTGTCGCCAATGAGGTGTCCTACATGGGGGTGAACTCCGTCTGGGGCGGGATGGCGGTAGAGCCAGACTCGAAGGACATGCAGTCCCATAAAGGCTCCAAGGAGTGGTTTCCGCAGTATCCCAACAGCGAGTCGCGCATCCTCTGGGACTGCGTGTCGGCCATGTTGGTGATCTACGACGTCGCCATGCTGCCGCTGGCGGTCTTCCAGTTCCAGAGGAATGACTTTGTGATATCGATGGGCTGGATCACGCTGATCTTCTGGACGATCAACATGCCAAAGTCTCTGTGCGTTGGCTACGTGGCCCATGGCAAATTGTGATGCGCATGCGGAGGATCCTGCTGTCCATTACATCGCTTCGCTCGTTCCGCTGACCCTTATCGTCGCACCTGTCGATTGCCCGAGTTATGGCGGTGAATGGGAAGTCGTTTGGTGGGGTCTGTATGCCTGAGGGGTTCGCAGTGACTGTGGAGTTGGTTTCGGGGGTTCGTCGCAGACTCTGGTGGAGGACGAGGAGGACGAGGAGAAGGAGAAGGGCGCGTGCGACCAACCAAACGGCGTGGGGCACGCTGGCACTAGCAGTGCAGGATGCTGAGCGCTGGGGAAGGCCTCTTGGGGCCTTCTTGGGAGCCTCTTGGGGGTCTCTTGGGGGCTTGTTGGGGCCTCGTGGGGCGCTCTTGTGGCCTCCGTGGCCCTCTCGGGGCGGACAGCTTGAGTGGTCGGTTCGTGGCTCCCCTCGTGGGCCCCACTTGTGGCCGTCATGGGGCGTTCTTGGGCTCTCTTGGGCGACCCTTGGGCCGTCTTGGGACCCTCGTGGGCCGTCTTGTGGCCCTTTGGGGGCCCTCTTAGGGGCCTCGTGGGCGGTCTGGAGGCGGTCTTGGAGGCCTCTGGCGCTCTCTTCGAACGTCGGAAGGCCGAAATGGCGAGGCGACCAGAGACTTTTAAACTTTGTAGAAAAACAATATGTCCTGTCTCCCAGGACCCTCTTGGGAGGCCTCTTGGAAGCCTCTTGGGCCGTCTTGGAGGCCTCTTGTGCCGTCTTGGGGCCATCTTGGGCCGCTCGGGCGATATGTAGGTGTCTCGGGCCACTCGTGGGCCCCACTTGATCTCGTCGTGGGGCGTTCGTGGCTCTCTTTGTGCGCCGCTTGGGCCATCGAGGGGCCATCTTGGGAGCCTCTTGGGCTGTGCCGGGGCGGTCGTGGATGCCTCTCGGGCCCTCGTGGAGCGTTGGAAGTTGAAAAGGTGAGAAGGCCCAAACCTCCAAAAACCTACGCTCAATCAATGATTTCTGTCGCGTGGGGACCTCTTGGGAGGCCTCTTGGAAGCCTCTTTGGCCGTCTTGGCGGCCTCTTGGGCCGTCTTGAGGCCATCTTGGGCGGCTTGGGGCGATCGGGGGGCGTCTCGGGCCCCTCTTGGGGCCGTCCTTGGGCGTTCTTGGGCCCGTATGGCCGCCTCTTGGGCCGTCTTGGAGCCGTCTTGGGCCATCGTGGACTATCTTGGGAGCCTCTTGGGCTGTGTTCGGGCGGTCTTGGAGGCCTCTTTGGCCCTGGTGGAGCGTCGGAAAGCCTAAAGGCGAGAAGGCTGAACAAAACTTTTGAACCCGATGGAAAATCAATGATTTGCGCCTCTCGGGACGCCTCTTGGAAGTCTCGAGAGGCGTGTTGGGGGCATCGAGGGCCATCGTGTTGCCAACTTGGGCCGCCTTGGGATGCTGTTGGCTTCTGACCGTAGGGCCTGCCACCTATTTGTCGACTCCTTGGGCCGCTCCTGGACGGTTCCAGAGGCCCCCAGGCCCGCGCTCAAGAGATTCGGCATCTCTGACGGGGACTTGCCAGGAGTTGTCCGGGGCCCGGGGTGCTTTTCGCTTCGGGACCCCCAGGGGCCGCCACGCGCGCGCGAACTAGAGAATGTTTAATTTGTTACCGGAGGTCTTAAATCGCCTCTGGCCCGTTGGGCCGGCGAATTTGAAGACCTGATTCATCCTGGACCTCATCCTCGTGCCAGATTGGACGGTCATAATCATCAACGGAGGAGGCCAGGACGAAGATTCAGTCGGCCAGAGCCACACCAGGGTGGTGCGCGTTCTGCGCGTGAGCCGCATGGAACGGCTGGTGCGCCTGATGAAGCTGCGGAGGTTTCTCCGGAGCGTCTACTACGCAATCGAGAGCGAATACGTCAGCATCCTGACTCACATCTTGCAGACGATAGCGCTCGTGCTGGCATTATGCCATATGATCGGGCATGTTGTTTCTCGTCAGCTCTGTGTGGTGGTGTTCGCGCTGGTGGGCTTCACCTACATCGTCGGCAGCATCACCGGGTCGCTGACGCAGCTCCGCAGCCTGTCGGAGGGGAGTGCGAAGATGTTTTGGGACCTGCGTCGCTACCTGACCCATTTCCGCGTGCAGCCGACGCTGGCGCTCCGGATCCTCCGGATCGAGGAGTACTTGGAACACGCGTGGGCGCGGCAGCAGAAGGGTATCACTCGAAGAGTGTGTTGTTGCTGACAGTGCTCTCGGAGCCACTCAGCTGGGAGCTTGACTTGGAGATCTACATGCACAGCCTGAAGGTGCACCGCACCCACTCCTCCTCAACCTCGGCGAGGCCAGCCCGCTCACCATGCAGCGCATCGCGCACTCGGCCACCCGGGAGAACAGGGCGCCGCGCCACGGCCTGCTCTGCGTGCCCAGCAAGCCCGCCGGGAGCAATGCTCTTCGCGTGTCCAGCAAGCTCTGGTAGCAGGCGACCGGGAATCAGCAGGGCACACTGGTGAACCAGGCTGAGGAAGGCTGTTTGGCAGAGCCAGTGCTATGGGTGAGCGCTCGGGAACACAAGGGCACGCTCTTGGCCGCCACCGACTCCGACCTGCTGATGGTCGACCCAGTCCAGTTCAGCCTCGTGGTGACCCGCAGCCCGCGCTCCTATGGGATGGGCGAGCAGTACGCGAGGGCGTTCGTGCAGTTGCTGAGGCTGCATGCGCAGGGCGAGGCCAGCACCTCCACGGGCGAGGTGCTCAGGCGGGCGGACCTCGCCTCGAACGTTTTCGAGCAGATCTGGATGCAGTCGGCTTGGTCGAGCAGATCTGGATGCACAACCTGCAGCTTGGTCGAGCAAAGTCAAGACTAGGTTTACGTGGCTTTTACAAAGCTTGGCACATCGAGCGGAGTGTTGCACACCGTGGCAGCAACACTCCAAGCTTGGAGTTTGACTTCAGCACGTTGGTTACGGGAAGTGGAGGGTCACCGCGACCAAAGAGAGAGGCCGAGAGGAGTATGACGCAGAGGAAAAGGGCGTTCGATCCATGGCTGCATGCCTGCGTCGCCCGTGTTCGACCGAGCTCGAGGCGTCTGCCTTGCGCGCTTGTTTGAGCAGGCATTGCTGACGCCCAGCAGCCTTACCAGCAGCCTTACCCAACAAAAAGAAGGAAGACCCGCCACCGCCCACATGATCGTCTGCCCACCTAGGCAGCCAGAGAGGCTTGGCATCGCTCGGACGTGTGCATTCTTCGGCGAGGACCATCGAGGAGCGTCCTGGAGCATCGAGCAACGAAAAGCAGCACGCACGAAACCAACACAACACATGCACGGGGAACGGACGTCCGAGCGAGGGCAGGGAAGGAGGCAGGGGCCGAGAGAGCCGCGCGCGCGGGCGCGCGGCCTCGGCTCTCCGGAGTCCCGGGCGAGCCGGCTGGCTGTCCCGTGCTCGGGTGCTGCCAGAACTGCCCCCTGGCCCAAGGTGCCCCCCTGGCGGTTGTGATTTGGGCGGGCGGCCACTGGCGGGGAGGCGTCGGGGACCCGGCGGGGGCGCGGCTGGCGGGGCGGAGAGGTTTGGAGGGGCGCGGCTGGGGGGGGGGGGGGGGGGGCGCAAGGAGGCCACCACGGCCTTCAGAGCACCCCTCACGAGGCCCAGAGGGCTCCAGGGGCTCGCACTTGGAACGTAGCTGGGGGCACCTTGGGCCAGGGGCACCTGTAGCAACCCCCGATGTGCGTACGGCACCGATCTTGGCATCGCTCAGACATTTCTTCTCGACCAGGGCCACCGAGGATGATCTCGATCATCCTTGCGCAAGAGAAACCACACACGGAATCGAAACATGCACGTGGAATGGACGTCCGAGCGATGGCAAGCGATCAGGGGCAGCGTTGGGGCAGGGATAGGCTCAGGGGGGAACGCATCGCTCCCGAATCGCCCATTCATCGCCGATGTGGGCCCGATAGCCCACGCCGCCCAGGAAAGTGCGGATTCGCTATCGAGGGCCTGTCTGCGATCCATCGGCGATGTATCGCCGATTCCACTTCGACGCTTTCCCCCTATGCCTGTGCCCCCCTAACGTTGCCCCTCAACCGAGCTTCGGCCTCGCTCGAGCTGGCTAGCGAGCCGATGCGCACACAGGCTCGACCAAGCAAGAGCGAACCGCGTGTTGGATGGGAGGTAGCGTGCGACGTCTGCTGCGTGCGGCATACAGATTGGCGCGTTCGGGGCCGGGAGGCGCCGGAGAAATCGGCTACATGAGCTGAATCGCCCACCCTCCCTTATTACCCCTTCCTTTCCGTCCGACCCGAGACTAGGTGCAGGACTGCGACACTGATCATGCGGAGGAGGACGGAGAAGGAAGGGGGGAGGAGAGGGCTGACGCTGTTGACGAGCGCGGCCCACGGCATGCCTAGGAGAAAGGAGCAGGTGGAGGGACACATGAGTGGGTGGTGAGAAGGAGCCTGAGGAGGAGGAGGAGGAGGAGGAGGAGGAGGAGGAGAGTATGGGGATGACAGAGGGGAGGAAGGAGGAAGCAGGATGAGAGAAGAAGGAAGAGGGTGGAGGGGGACCGAGACGAGTGACGAATAGCAGGACGATGAGGTCCAGGAGGAGGGAGGCCGCGGAGGAGACCCAGGAGGGAGAGGGCGAGAATGCCGAGGCGGAGGAGGAGGAGGAGGACGGGTAGAAGGACCAGCACGAGAAGGAGGAGTTCAGTTCAGTTCTCAAGCCCAGGAGTTCAGTTCAGATCTCAAGCCCTTCGAGACCATGTGTGGGTAATGAGGGGGGGAGGAGGAGGAGGAGGAGGAGGAGGAGGAGGAGGAGGAGGAGGACGAGGACGAGGACGAGGACGAGGACGAGGACGAGGACGAGGACGAGGACGAGGACGAGGACGAGGACGAGGACGAGGAGGACGAGGAGGAGCAGCAGCAGCAGCAGGAGGAGCAGCAGCAGGAGGAGCAGCAGCAGCAGCAGCAGCAGGAGGAGGAGCAGGAGCAGGAGCAGGAGCAGGAGGAGCAGGAGCAGGAGGAGCAGGAGGAGCAGGAGCAGGGGCAGGAGCAGGAGCAGGAGCCGACGGCGCGAGCATGCTGGAGCAGGAGCAGGAACAGGAGCAGGAGCAGGAGCAGGAGGAGGGGGAGGAGCAGGAGCGACGCGCGCTTTCCCAAAACCTTGGTCGCCTGTACTCTGGGGACCTCGCTCTCGGCATGCACGGAGCTTGCCGCTCCCTCCTGTTCCTCCTCCTTGCATGCCCGGTTTTAGCTAGCGAGGCGGCGTCCCGCCCAGCCCCAGATCCTCCGCTTCCGACCGCCATCGTACAAAAAGCAGGCAGCAGATGGGACAGGGCCGAACTGGGAGGGCACGTCCACCCCTCCCCGGTGCCTTCCTGGCGTGTTCCCAGCTTCGGCTGGCCACTGCGCAGAGAGTTCAGCGCCTTTCCAAAATGCACTGGTTTGCATTTGCGATAGATCGAAGCAGACATACACGCAGCGTGGCTTCAAGCTGCGAACAAACAAAGGGTTGTGCCCTTGGTGCCCAGAGGACCGCCACGGCCTGTGCCCCCCTCCGCATTCGCCCGTGTAGTCAAGACGGCGACACAAGGCTAACTTTGGCCTCACGAGGGGGCTTTGGTTTGCGGGCCCCTCCTTCTCCTCCTCCTCCTCCTCCTCCTCCTCCTCCTCCTCGAACCTGGGCCGGGGAGACCCCTCGCGGCCGAGGCTCGCAGTGGCCAGGAGAGGCCCCCCCCCTCGCTCCACGCTCCGCGCTCCCTGCCGTAGCATGCTGGCTGGAGCCCCCCCCCCCTTCAGAGGCCTTGAGGTTGACACCAACACCGAGATCTGCGGTGTGCCTCCAACGAGGGAACATGCTCCCGATCTCGGTGATATAGTAATACTCGGGCTTCCATGGTGGCCGAAATATTGCCACCAGCACCAAAATCTAGGATCATCTTACCCCCTTGCAGGCGACCCCCTGTGTTGCCGTTGGTGCCAATTTCCAGGCCTCCAACCCCTGGTCTTGCCCGGCGGGATCCGTGCCTGCAAACTCCAAGGGGGGGGGGATTTTTGGACGGGGCCAGGATGAGGAGAAGTCCGTTCCAGAGCGTTCCAGAACGCTCTCGGAGAGTTCCAGAGCGCGCTGAGAAGTCCGCGGTGCCCGAGACATCCTCCAGAGCCGCGGGATCTCAGAGATTTCCGATGTGTCCTCACCAGATTTTATCTTCCTCCTGGCTTCGTCTCAGGTTTGCGCGGCACGAGCTCCTGGCGCGGGGGGCGGGGAGCGAGAGAGGACGAGGAACAGAGGCAGGAGCATCGACGAAGAAGATGAAGAAGCTAAGCTTTCTGAGCTCCGCGCGGATTCCTTAAATCGGCGCTCGGCCCCCCTTCCTGGCGCGCTCCGCGCTCCAGGGGTGGCGTCAGAAGCGCCGCCAGGGGGGTCCAGCGCCGATCCACGAAATGAGCGCGCCAGGAAGGAGAGCCGAGCGCCGATCCAAGAAATCCGCGTGGAGCTCCGAGACGTATGCTTAATTATGTTCAAGCTGTTGTTCTCTCTGCAGAGAAGAGTGACATGAACGTGAGAGTTTCGCTCAAGATTGGTTCAATATTGTGCATGGCGTCCAGGCACATAGGTTTCAGCTGCCGGTGACGTCGCGAGCATGCTGGTGACGTTGCCCCGCCTGCTGCGCATCGGCGTTTGGAGAAGGCATGCACCGATTGAGCGTTCAGCAGCAGTCGGACACTTGATTTTGGGTGGCGTCCGCAAGATCACAAGCCGAGATGCCGAGCGGAAGTCTGCAATCCTCCGCGGCGCTGGATTAAGTTTGAAAACTGCGCTGGACTCTGTGGAATACATGGAGGATACACGAGAGAGGTTATCGACACCTCGATCTCGACAAATGAACGAGGCGACAACAGCAATCAAGCAACATGTTGAGAGGCAGGCGTTCGATGACGCGTGGGCATTGTACACGCAGGAAGAATGTCCAGATACAGTTCTGCAAAATCTAGGCTTGCATCTGTGTGCGAAAGCGAGGTGGTTCAAGCGGGCAGCACACATTTGGGAGACCATGGCAGAGAAGACAGTCGTTTCTTACTCGGCTATGATCGACGTCTGCGGCCGCTGCAAGCAATTAGAGTTTGCGGAGCAGGTCTTTGAACAGCTCAAGGCTTTCCATAGCAGTATGGATATGATCTCGTACAACTCCATGGTCAATGCTTACGCAATGTGCGAGCAGCCGCATAAAGCTCTTCAACTTTTTCGGGCAATTCCAGATGATGTTATAGAGCAAGCGGGTTTGGGGGCTAAGCACAGCGGGTTCGTGTCAGTGATGATGGCCCTTGCCCGTTCAGGCGACTATGCGCAGACGAGGGAGATCTTTGTTCAAATGACGGGGAGTGGCATCGCGCCGCAGCATGCCCATTTCACGGCTTTGCTCACCGCTTGCATGTCCAAGTGTTATACGAAAGAAGCGCAGGGTTGTTTTGATCTTATGGCCTCGTACAATTTGCAGCCTAACCTTGCGCATTGGACCTCCCTTTTAAGATGTCACCGGTATGATCTGGCACGTTGCTTGGAAATCATTGAAGAAATGGCGAATGCAGGAATCAAGCCTTCCCCATTGACATACCAAGGGTTGTTAAAGGCGCATGTCCTGGCCAACGACGGGCCTGGAGCAAGAGCGTTGTTGGCTTCGCAAAAGGGAAATATTTATGATGGCCCAGTAACTCAGCGACTGATTGCACAAGCCTACGCGTTGCCCTGACGCATGCGTCTACATAAGATGTTTGCCGGTTTCACGTATAAGGCTGCGGTGTAGAGCAGTATTGTTGAGGGCAGCGACACCCGCAAGCAAGCAGCATCTTCTATCGCACGAAGAGTGCCCTGCGATGAGGCGCAAGGGCAAATGTAGGCGCCACTTGGCTCCAAATGTTGTGACTAGTGTATTGATTATGGTCCGCTTGGGCTTTTGTAGGCCTGCCTGCTTGCACTGTAGCGCTAAGCAGTTGCTCTGTCGATGCAGCATCTTTGTCTGTAGGCTACCGTCTGGAGCTGGTCGAGAAGGAAGTGCTTCACACACTGTGGCCCCTACAATAGGTATGAACTGGTCTGGTGCGATCCGCGTTGGGTCTGCATGGTTCCTGATGAGCCAAAATGCGCAATTCAAGAACGCGCAACGCAACGCAATGCATTACGAAACAAAGCGGGACGATGAAAGGCAACGATTGCAAAGCGAAGCAAGGAAAAGCAAACAGTTATTTTCACAATGCAGCGCATGCAATGGCGCCCACCTGCGCTCCAAGAAGAGACTCTTGTGTTCGAGCCCTCAAGGAAGCAACTGCCAATTGCTTATATGCCACAGCTCGCAGGGCACGCCAGTCCGCACGGCGTAGACATGTATGTATATACATATAAACACATCTATGTATATATATATATATATATATATATATAGCGATGCGGGCATGGCCTCAACGTCTCGGAGTGGATGATTGCGCAGTACATTTGGGGAGCCAGCATTGGTGCCTGTATTAGGGCGTGGGTGTCCTCGAGGTGTTAGCCTTTCAAACTTCTCGGTCTCCCCATGCCCCTGCGCGACTCACACCCACTCTGAGCTAGTGTTTGGATCGCCCGAAGGTTCACGCCCGAAAGCACCCAGAGACGTCGGAAGACGGCGAAAGCGGATCGAGGCCTCAGCGGGCCCTCGCCCCCCCATTCATTGTTCGCTCCGTTTCAGGAGCGAAACAAAGACGCGATGGGTTCTCGTGGATTTCGGCAGTATGCGTAGCGCGAACATTCTTGACACTAGGCTGGCATCGCGGATTTTTGGGGGCCGTATTCGTGTACGAGGTTGGGCGCCAATCCCTCACATTGGCCGAAGCATCAGAAAGCAGATACATACGATTCAGTTCGTTCTCCCTGCTCCCCAGCCTCGCCTCCCCCAGTCCCTGGCCTCGCTTGCCTTTCTTCGATGGGGGAGTTGGAGGGGAGGGGAAGAAAGGGGAGGACGACGAAGACGACCACATGGACGACGACGAGGGCGATGACGGCGAGGACGAAGACGAGAAGGACGACGAGGACGACGACGAGCACGCGGACAACCACGAAGACGATAACGACGACGATGACGTGGGTGACGACGCGACAACGATGGCGACGACAACGACGTCGCCTGGGGGGACTCCAGAGATTTCTGGAGGCTCCCAGAAGTCCCGCTGAGGCCCAGTGCAGTCGAAGAAGTCCCGCCGAGGCCCATTGTACTAGTCGAAAACTCAATCAGGTCCTTGATCTTCGAACCGTCGGCGGCGCAGACGAGGAGACAAGATACTCTTCTCCTGTACTTAGATGTTACTGGCAATGCTTGTTATTGTCCGTTTTATGCTTGGTTGCCTTTCTTTTTCAATTGCCAGTTGTCCTTACTTCTTGAGTATCTCCACAACTCCGTTTTCTTGTCGTGTTGAGTTATGTTTGTTGTTGGTTGCTGGTGGCAGTGTTCTTTCCGTTCCATGTTTGGAATCGACCCTATGTTTTGTTGGCCCGTTTGGGTGCAGATTCCAATGTTCCACCACGTCTTCATGTATGAAACATGCGCAGATCATTTTCGACAAATGTGGTCAATCCAGTTTTTCCCGCCTCGGCATTCCGCTCCCTGCTGGTTTGGCGACCGCGCGCGAAGTTTTTTCTGTTTACTATCCTGTTGTGTGTTCCGTCTTGTCCGTGTTGAGCCGCGGACAGCGAAAACGTTGTTAATTGGGGGGAGGGGGGGGGGGGGGGCGGAGCGTGCACCGTCGGTCCGACAGACCGGCCTTACGAGGGCAACGCGAGCGGACCGGGGCCCGAGTCAAGAGTCGCAGTGGTGGGAGCCGGAGTCGGGTGGGGGCCAGAAAAAGATGTGTTTGCAGTTGAGGAGGACGTTCTCACCAACGTCGGGGTCGTATGGGGGAAACCCTCCCCCAGTCTTTTGAGACACATCCAAGCTCCTGGGACGCTGCTGGTCATGGACGGGATCCCCGCCCTCCGCGACAGCTTCTTCCTCGCCGTCGGCCGCCGCCCTCGTCGTCCTCGTCCTCGACCTCGCCGAGGTCGTGCCTGTTAGGATGGAACCCTTGTGAGTGCGGGCAAGATTTATATGTATATCCATTGCGTCTTGGACTTTCTGGGCAGGGGCGCCGAAAGGCCGAGGCCCAGTGGATATGGATAAAAACTTAGCTTCTAGGGGCCAGATGTTTCTAGCCATGTCCACTGCGCCTCTGGGTTCTGGGGAAAGGAGCCCGACACTCCAAGACGCAGTGGATATGGATATGTGTCTTGCCCGCAGTGAGGTAAAATTCGTCATCGGCGCCAGGATGTCCGTGGTCGAAAACCGGCCTCAATCGAGCCTTGTCTCGCTCAATTCATCGTACGGTTGGCGCTGGAAAAGGTAGCGTGCGATGTGGCGCCGCCCGCCCGCCTATTACACTCTATCCCCCCCCCTTGGGATAGCGTGCACCGGAGAATCCTTGGCGGAGGGATAGCGCGCATAGTAAGGGGCTCTCGCGGGGAGATCGCCTCACAGGGATAGCATGGTTGCCGGAGATTGAGGTTGCACGCTATCGTTTTGTTGCCAACCTTATTCCTGTCTAATGCGGCTTCATCGGATCTGGCTTAATTGGCTTGATGCCCTCGGGCTTACTAGCCCGTAATCGTTTTTACGAACTCCCAGGGGTTGTCTGACTCCTAACGTCGTCCTCGTCCTCGACCTCGCCGAGTCGTCTCTGGCCGTCCCCGCCCCCTCTGATCCCTTGGGCGGTGGCTGGGCCTTGGGGGCGCGCGCCCGGCGCGCGCGAGGAAGGCCCCGGGCCGCGGCGCTGCAGTTGACGCAGGACGCGGCGGCCGCCCGAGGCCACGGAGAGGGGGGGGCGCCGCCGCTGCCGCGACTCCGCCGCGGTTCCTGCTCCTCCTCCTGCTCGCCTACCCTCTTGGCCCTCCTCCCCTCGAGCCTCACATCCTCACTCGGGGTCATCAAATGGGAGGGGGAGATGACTAGGGGGTGGATATCATGACGGGGGCCATCATAACTCCCCAGATTTAATGGCGCCTTTTCTTATTTCAATACGTCCCCGACCCCCCCCTCGGGCCGCGTACATTCCAGCGGCCATGAATTGTCCCCCCCCCCCTCTTGGACGCCCCCCTCTTGGGCGCCTCCGAGTCACGCGGCCGCGTGGGCCCGGGCCCGGCCCTCCTCTCTCCTGCTCTGTCGGTCATATGCTCGTGCCGCCGCGTCCCGGGCCCCCCTCGGCTCCTGCACCTCCTCCTTGATCGCGCGCCGTTCCGCACTCCTCCGAATCGTCTGCGCGTGTGCAAATTCTCGGGGGCGGCAAAGAGGGGGGTGATGACTGGGGGGGGGATATCATGGCGGGGGCCATGATATTTCCGTACGCTTCATGGTGCCTCTTCTTATTTCATTACGTCCCCGGCCCCACCCCTTGGGCTGCGCACATGCCGCCGGCCATGATTTGTGCCCCCCCCTCTTGGACGCCCCCCTCTTGGCCGCCCCCGAGATGCAGACGAGGAGGAGTACCGATACCCCTGCCCTGGCCTCGGTTTCGCCTTTGAGACTTGGGGAGGGTATTTTGGAGAGTTGTCTTTTTATTGTTACGACTACCACTTCTGATACGATTACCCCAACGTCGACCCCATATATGAATGCGCGAAGCAAAAGTTGCCCACAGAGCAAGCAGAGGCTCCCCGCCCATCCAGAGGGGCACCGTCCTCGTGAGGGTCGCTACTTTTCGACGGCCAGGGCGCCCTAGGCACAATTAGCCCACAGAGCCAGCAGAGGGCCCCAGTCCCTCCAGAGGGGCACCATCCTAGTGAGGGTCGCCACTTTCCGAGGGGCCAGGGCGCCCGAACCACAACTGGCCTACAGAGCCGGCAGAGGGCTTCAGCCCCTCCAGAAGAGCACCCTCCTCGTGAGGGTCACAATTTTTCGCAGGGGCCAGGGCGCCCGAACTACATGCAACTGGCGTGCAGAGCCGACAGAGGGGTTCAGCCCCTCCAGAGGGGCACCATCCTCGTGAGGGTCGCCACTTTCCGAGGGGCCACGGCGCCCGAACCACAACTTGCTTACAGAGCCGGCAGAGGGCCCCAGTCCCTCCAGAGGGGCACCATCCTCGTGAGGGTCGCCCCTTTTCGAGGGGCCAGGGCGCCCGAACCACAACTGGCCTACAGAGCTGGCAGACGGCTTCAGCCCCCCCAGAGGGGCACCATCCTCGTGACGGTCGTCACTTTTCGAGGGGCCAGGGCGCCCGAACCACAGATGGCCCACAGAGCCGGCAGAGGGCTTCAGCCCTTCCAGAGGGGCACCATCCCCGTGAGGGTCGCCATTTTTCAAAAGGCCGGGGCGCACAACCTACATTTGGCCCACGGAGCTGGCAGAGGGCTTCAGCTTCTCCAGAAGGGGCACTATCCTCGTGAGGGTGCCACTTTTCGATGGGCCAGGGCGCCTGACCACAAACTGGTTTACAGAGCTGGCAGAGGGCTTCAGCCTCTCCCAGAGGGGCACCATCCTAGTGAGGGTCGCCACTTTTCGAGGGGCCAGGGCGCCCGAACCACAACAACAACACCATCACCAACATTTAAACAGCAATAGCAACAATTACTGACAATGGCAACGACAACGGCAACGTTAACAACGACAACGACAATGACAACATCATCAACAACAACAACAACAACAGTAGCAACAACGGCAACAGCAGCAAAGACAACAACTACGAAATCAACAAGAACAATAACAACAAGAGCACCACCAACAGCAACAACGCCATGTGAAGGACGAGGCTGGCAGAGAGCTTCAACAACGAAGTCTCATGACTAGGTAAGATCCCCAATGCCACAACATAGCTGGGCAATCGCATCTTTCAAAATGATTGCGATTACGACTACGACCTTCATGAAGATTTCTATGAGCATTATCACTATTAGGCTTATCAGAGTGAGGGGGCCGAACGGTCATTCATTGTCCCTTGGTGCGTGGCTGAATAAGGAATTCGTGGTGAGAATTCTGCTTGTTGCGTTGTTGTTGTCGTCGTCGTCGTCGTTGTTGTTGTTTGTTGTCGTCGTCCTACACCCGACCCACCCGCGACCCACCCGCGACCCACCCCGCGACCCACCCCGCGTCCCACCCCGCGACCCACCCGCGACCCACCCGCGACCCACCCCGCGACCCACCCCGCGTCCCACCCCGCGACCCACCCCGCGACCCACCCGCGACCCAACCCGCGACTCACCCGCGACCCACCCGCGACCTACCCGGGACCCACCCGGGACCCACCCCGCGACCCACCCGCGACCCACCCCGCGACCCACCCGCGACCCACCCGACCCACCGACCCACCCGCGACCCACCGACCCACCCCGCGACCCACCCGCGACCTGCGACCCACCCGCGACCGCGACCCTCCGCCCCACCCCGCAACCTTCCCGTGACCCGCCCGCGACCCATCCGCGACCCATGCGCGACCCACCCGCGACCCACCCCGCGACCTACCCGCGACCCACCCTCAAGGTGGGAAAAACCACCCGGACCCGACAATTGGTTTTTTTATTTAGACAACATTGGGCGTTGATTAAACAGCCCTTCCCTGTTCGATTCGTTCCTTGTGTACGTTTACTAAACGGCTTCTTTTGTTAATTTTCTGCCCTTCACACTCGCGACGCATCCGCGACACACCCGCGACCCACCCGCGACCAACCCGCGACCCACCCGCGACCCACCCCGCGACCAACCCGCGACCGACCCACAGTAGTGCAATGAAAAAATCGGCGCCTGCGGCGGGCTCGTTGTATAATGTGCGAAACTTTGGCGCCTGCGGCTGGCTTCTCCAGAGTCTCAAACTGCCGACGTTCCCACCGCCCCCTCACTCTTGTCCGCATCTGCGGGGTGCAATAATTGTTATTACTGCCGCCGCTACTGTTACTACCACTGGCGTTACGTATTCCACTGCTACAACTACGACTAGTAGTAATACTACGACTACTACTTTTATGACTACGAATATTAATATTAACATCGCTGTTACTACTACTACTACTACTACTACTACTACTACTACTACGACGACGACGACGACGACGACGACGACGACGACGACGACGACGACGACGACGACGACGACGACGACGACGACGACGACGACGACGACGACGACGACGACGACGACGACGACGACGACGACGACGACGACGACGACGACGACGACGACGACGACGACGACGACGACGACGACGACGACGACGACGACGACGACTACTACTACTACTACTACTAGTACTAGTACTACTATTACTACTACTGTTTCTAGTACTACTACTACTACTACTACTACTACTACAACTACTACTACTACTACTACTACTACTACTACTACTACTACTACGACTACGACTACTACTACTACTACTACTACTACTACTACGACTACGACTACTACTACTACTACTACTACTACTACTACTACTACTACTACTACTACTACCACTACGACTACCACTACGACTACCACTGTTACGACTACCACTATTACAACTACTACTACTACTACTACTACTACTACTACGACTTTTACTTTTACTGCTCTACTACTACTACTACTACTACTACTACTATTTTTACTACTACTACTATTTCTACTACTACTACTATTATTGCTGCTACTACTACTACTACTGCTACTAATACGGCTGTTGCTGCTGCTACTACGTCGACTACGACTACTATTTCTACTACTACTACTACTACTACTACTACTACTACGACTACTACTACTACGACGACTACTTCTACTATTGTTACCCGAACTACTATTACGATTACTCTTTCTAATTCTACTTCTGCCACTACTACTACTACTACTACTACTACTACGACTAATGGGACCACTATTGCTACTACCATTCACTACTACTACTACTACGACTACTACTACTACTACTACTACGACGACTGCTACTACTACTACGACGACTACTACTACTACTACTACAATTTTTCTACTACTACTACTACAACGACTATGACTAGTTTTCCGATTCTTATGTTTTATTTTACGACTGGTACTACCCTGATGTCTACTACAAGCCATAGTTTTACCATTTGCAAGAACTGCGACCACCATTTCTGCTACTACAACACATGCCACCAATGCGACTACTACGTTTACTACGACTCCTACGACTTCTACGGTTACGACTACTACGACTACTACTACTACTACTACTACTACTATTATTACTACTACTACTACTACTACTTCTACGGTGGCTACCACTCTTACATACACGATTGCGACTACTACGGCGAGTTTTACTACGACTACCACCTACCACTACAACTACTACTACCTTATTATTACTGTTACGACTACTACGACTACGCATTTTACTACTACTACTACTACTACTACTACTATGATTTCTACCATTAGTTCGGGTACGTCATTAACTGGTGCTAGGATATATATATATATATATATATATATATCTATATTTATATATATCACTACTACTACTACTACTACTACTACTACTACTACGTCGGCTATTATCTTTCTTACCAACACTACGAATATGACGACCACTGCCAGTAGAAGTAGTAGTCGTACTGTTTTTGTGCACCATCCTTATTCATACTTTTACTACTACGACTACGACTAGTGTTACTGCGATCGGTACTGCTACTACTCGTACGCTTACTACTACTATGCCTGCTACTTCGAGTACGAGTATTACTGCTATGGCTACTACTACTATTCCTACTCCGGCGACGCATACGGTTATTGTTAAGTATGAACTACAACATCTACTATTACTTGGCTACCACTACTACTGCCACTACTACC